TGAAGAGGAGAGCTATACTGAAACATAAACTTCTACAGGTTGTGGGAAATGAGGAATGAAAAAGTCATTTTATGTCTATATGTATATACACACAAATATACATGTGCATTTTTAAACTAGGAAATTAATTATAGGTAAAAATGTTAATATTCAAGGTTGATTCACCAAAGTATAAAAGTTATCCCTCTGTGTTTATGTCATATTTAAACAAGGTTAAGAGGATAAGAAAATTATTTTATTCTGGTTGCTGAGTTTATACCTCAACTGACATCTCAGTTACTTGCAGATCACTAGGTGGGAAATACGTTCCTGATATCATAAGGGCTGTTTTTAAATTAAAATCTCCCTTTTAAAAAAATCAGAGGGGGATTCTGTGGTCAGATTTTATGTCAAATACCAGATGGTGCCCTGCATAATTTAAAACACTGCATAGCATCATTATTTTCTTCTTCTGTTCATCATGTCTCTCTCTCAGAGGCTGCCTGGGGAAGGTTCCTGCAGTTTTCTTAGGTTTTTGAAAAGTGGCTTGCTATTGTTTCTTTCCTAGGGCTAAGAGTGTGTGATTGGTCCAAGTCACTCAGTTGGCTTTTGCTTAAGGCAGAATTAGAACTCACCACCTCCAGTTTCTAGCCGGATGTCTTAACCACTATACCAAATTGGCTCTCTTCTAATATTACAAAGCTTCATATGATAAAATCTGCAGCTTATAAAAGGAAATGTGATAAAATATATAAAAGCACTACACTGTGTGTATGCTTATCGTATTAAGTTCAACAACTTTCATGTAAGTGGCTGTAGAAGTCTAAATGAAAAGTATTATATAAGAACACAGTGCTCATAATTTAATGATACTTCTGTAATTAAGATTGAACCCTGAATGTGAACACATTTACTTACAACATGGGTAACAAATTAATTTCTTATATTGAAGGTCTGTGTGCATTTATTTGTCTCTGTTGTTCCAAGAATGTAACTAAAAAGACAATGAGTACAGGCTTGAGGCACAGAATTTTTATTTCTAGTACATGGGAAATACTGTGATTAGGAATATATCAAAATGAATAAGATGCTACTTCTCACACCGATCTAGATAATTTACCGTATATACCAAGAATAAATGAAAGTATGAATGATGTAGCTCATTATATATAAGAATTATTTTGTTTGTAACATTCAAAATAATTTCTCTTAATTTAATGCAAATTGATTCTAAGTGTTTAAAAATGAAAGCAGAATCTTCAAATGTTGTCTCGTGTGGAAGAAATGGAATAGGTAACTTTACCCATATTAAGAGCTGAGAATATCGATTGCCAGTTTAAGATAGGCTCCCAATTATGAGCTTTCCCTCAGGAACTTGCATGAACATAATTTCAGGAAAGATAAAGCCAAACTGGAAAGACTGTGATAATGGCCTATAAAAAGTAAAATTACCGTACATCGTAATATGTTTGTGTTGGCAATAACAAATAATTTTAGTTTTTAGAAGACATGTGACTGTATTTTAACCTACATTTGACCAATTTTCTTCCATTTTTTTTTTGAAAACTATATTTATGAGAACTGAAAACTAACATCGACAAAGCATGCTTTTAAAAGAGGTTACGTGTGCAGAAGGAAATGGAAAAAAATGTTCTTGGACTATTGAAGAAAGAATTTAACTACCGGTATGTGCTTTTTTTTTTAACCCTCTCCTCAAATACCATGATAAATCTGCCAGAATGCCCTGTTTAGGGCAATTAATCAAAGTTGCAAGAGGTTTTTTTTAAAATCCATTCACCCAAAGATAGAATACTATAGACTTAGGTTTAAATATTAGTTGCAATTTCTGTTAATGCCAATATCTCAGTATGGAATGAATGTTAATTAGAAAAAAAAACAACCATCTCTTTTTGCATCAATATTATTTCAGTTACAGTTCTTGACAAAAGTAGTACTTCCCTCATGTTTTAGTAACACTCTTTTACACTGTTATTTGCATCATACCCCCCCCCAGACATATTTACTTTTAAGTATGATTTATTGATTTAAATGCTTTTAAAATAAGCAATATGGTTTCCTTTGCTGATTATTATAAAGGGTTTCCCATGCTATATTTGCAACATTATAGAAGAAACATAGTTGAGCCCTTATATTGTTAGGTACATATTTAATTAACATAGCTTTAGAATCCATGCAATATAAAATTTCATTGCTCATTTTAAAGTTTTGAAGTTAACAACATAAACTTCAAGTTGAGTAATTAAGTAATCCTTATATAGACACTTATTAAAGTATTTATACATATTATCTTAAATCTACATCTATCATTTTGCCAATTAAAATTAGGACTTTAATTGCAATTAAGTAATTTAATTGCCAATTGAACAGCAAAATTGCTAAGTGACTAATTTTAATGCCTATTTTAATTACCAATCATGACTGGGGAGGGAGCTAATCAAGCAGTATCAGAGTAATGATGTGAAAAAAAGAAGAGAGAGAACAAACATCCATGGCTCCATGCTTCAAAAAGAAGTCTACGTTAAATGAATGCAAACAGTTTTTATTGATGTAACAAAATCATGCCTTTTGGTACCTAAATACCTGTACAGAGAATTCAGTGCAAGAGGTTCACTCTCTAGAACTGGAGTTATAAAGGAAAAGCAGTTTGACATTTTGTAAAATTCCTGCAAAAAAAAACCCCCATCTCCTCCATTTCCAAGATAACAGCGTCTGGAATTCTGGTTGCCAAGTACAATTTTAGTCCCAAATACCATTGTAGGCTAAGAACCGCCCTTATAACCTAACAGTATCTCAGCAAAGTATATTTCAGAACAAATTAATGGGGGATTAAAAATAATGTAAATCTAGTGGATTGTTTTGAAGAAAAGCTCTTCAATTTTCTGATCTTAAAACATAACGGTCAACTCTGATTAGGAATATGTGACAACAAAAAAATAATTTCAAAGTATTAGTATCAAGAAGACAGCAACTGCAATAAAGGCAGAGTAATGTTTACAAGAAAACATAAGAGTCCACAGCATCAAGTATTTATTGTATGTTGCTTTTGTAATGAAAGGTGTATGTTATTGTGTTATCAGCAGTACTGTATAGTGACAATTGAGCACATGAAAAGGTGAATGATGAATATTTCTGAGCCAGTGGAAGCCACATTTTAGAAGATTCATATTAAAATATATCTGACTGAGGGCATTGTTTTCTTGATGTTTCCAACTAGTTTTTACCCTTTAATGTTTCCCAAATTATTCTTATTTAGAGAATAAGAGACATCTTCAAATTAACAAAATACTTTCCATGTATAATAAAAGCCAGTATATGAACAGAAAGATAATAAGAGCTTTTATGGGAAATATTTCTGCATTATTTGTATGCAAAATATTTAGTTCTAACAGCAGAAAATGTATCAGAGCTTCTTAAAAGGTCTACATTGAATTGTGGTTCAGAAGGATAGTGAAAGTGCTTTCTCAATTCATAGAAAACTTAACATTCACCTAGCTAAACTACACATTACACTGTTTGTATAGTTAATATTAGTGTCTAAGGGTTTCTTATCTATAGCAAATATTCTGGAAGGGTATTTTATACTGGCAGAAGTTGAAAAGGAAAGGTTTTAAAGTCCCAACTGACCACAAAATGCTCCCCTCCCTCTGGCCAGCCTTTTGTAATTGCAAGGAGCAGGTGGGCTGGGGTGGGGGGATATTGGAATAAAATTACACATGGTTGCATTTAAAGTTATATATTGGCTCTGGAATTATTTTGTCGAGAGATGCTGACTTACATGTGCATATGCATATAGGCAGTTTTAGACTGCTATTTTAAATTGGGGACTGCTATTTTAAATTGGGCTTCTGTAGGCAAAACTACCCCATTTTTATATCTATGAATGTTAAAACATTGTTTCAATAGTTCATTATATAAATGGTAGAGATTTGGAATGATTATATGCTAGTCTCAAAAAAAAAATGAAATGCTAGAGAACTCAGGAAAAAGAACTGATTAAATCCTAGAAGTTGCAGCCTAGGATAGCTTCATTCAGAGCCCAGACCGTTGCAGAAATAAAATACTGTAATAGGATTCAAAAGTGAAAGCTTTTTTCTTTCTTATTAAATCTATCCTTAATAAATTATTAGAATGGTTTGCATCCATATTTTGTAAACAATAATTAAAAATAAGGGAGAAGCCTATGCTGTGAAATTATAAACAAAAAGTGGGCACCAAAATAGGGTTAAAAACGTGTTGAAGAAATATTTTCTACCTTTTTAATGTCAGAATCAGAAATTATGGGAAACTACAGCATTTAGAATCAATGTTCAAAATCTAAACACACAGAAGTACTTTCCATTAAACCTGTAAAGCCTTTATGCAAAAAAACATTTTTCTAATGTAGTTCAGAATGCAGAACCTGAGGCAGGCAAGGCTAATAAAGACAAATCCCTTAAGAATACTATTTTAAGGACTATGCATGTTTATTCTGAAGTCAATTCTGTAGAATTCAACAGGATTTCCCCCTAGAAATGCATGTTTAAAGCTTAAAGAATGTTTCTCTAACCCATTAAATTGATTTCAAATTTCTCTGTTAAGATTAGCCTTATTAAACCAATGGGACTTTGTCACGTTGTTTCATTGATTTCAGTGAATGTATTCCATTACTTTTGTAACTAACCCATGGACAAGAATCTGAAACCAACCCCAAAGAAAATACTGTATAAGGTTGTTAATATTTTACATAATGGTGTCTCTGCTAACAAAAATATGAATTGTTAAAATATACATATAATTCAAAAGAGGATAACTAACCCCTTTCTACAATTGTTATGGAGCCTGATTAGGTAAGATAAGTAATTGAGATAAATATGCTTTTTTTAAAAAAACCATATGAAAATGTAACCTTAAAAGACAACAAAATACAAATTATTAGCTTCCTTCAGCTTTAATTTACTTACATTTACTTCATTTTCTGGAACAGAAAGAAATGGCGAGTACAAACACACACAAATAGAATATGAGGTTAACAATATTTTAATAAGATATTGTAGTTTTAAATACATGTAATTCTTCTTTGTCTGTCGGGTTATATTAAGGGGATTAGGCCATATAACATATTTGACAGTTTCCAGGATCCTAGCTGACAAATAAGTGTTTGCAGCATTTGAAGTCCTTCTGCATTTTGCTCTCAGTTTCACTAGGCACACTGTAAAATCCACTCTGTTCAATATCATACATATTTCTCCACAAGTCATCCCCGTTCAGTGCCATCGCATTCACTTCCCAGGGAAGGTAGCCGCTTGCCTGTGAGGCGAAAGGTTGTGACCTGCATAGGATTACCACCTTACTGACTTTAAAAGTCTCAGGTCAAGGAATATAAATTGTCCAAAGCAATTTATCTTCTTGTTCAGAGTCATTAAATCCCACCCACCCACCCCACAGAATATATTTGATTGATATTCTTGGGAGGTGAAAGGCTAAAGGGGGACCATATGGCAACATGTTGCATTCCATATGCTATCTGCCCATCCATGCTGAAGCTGCCATTAGCAACATCTGCACCTAGCGGAAATCCAGCTGCGCTGAAAGCTATTGTCAATTAAACGGAAGAAAAAGAGATTTTCCATTGCTAGCATAATATAGACCCGTTTTTCTCCGTCTGCAAAGGCATAAACGAGTGGATTAAAAGGAAGGGGAGGAGAATTAATGTCTTCTTTTTCACAGGAAATGTGCTGTACGATTTAAAAAAAACACACAGCACGGATGGGCGAGCAAACGGATTGAAGGAAAAGACCTGCAAAGCTTCCACCACGACGCTGCAGTTACTATAAGGCTCTCTCTCCCCCTCCCCACCCGGAAGCTTCCAAAGGCATAGAAAGAGCTCCTCCCCGCCCCTTAAGGTCTTCTCGAGCTAGAATCAGTGGGTTCATTTAGGGGTGGGGACAAAGGTGAGAAGCTCCTCCCCTTCCCCCCCCACGTGGATTCAAACGAAGAACTTACTTTTTCCGGAAGCGCGGGCTTCCTGCAGTTTGGGTCAATGATGCGCCCCCCCCTCCGCCCACACACTGACAATAATAATAATAACAGACGCACATATGCTACGCCGCTCCATTACGGCATCCTAACTTCTTGGGAAGAACTCGGTGCGCGCATGAAAAGCCAGCAGGCGCTACAGACCTTGGGCAGCCGCGACTTTACATTGTTGCGAACGGATGAGAATAGTAATAGTTACCTTTTCCTTGGGCTCCGCCAGAAGCCCGGGTTTTTCTGCTAAGTTGCCCGCTTCCCTCGCCCCCTTTTCTTTCTTTCTTGTTCTTTCTTTCTTGTTCTCTTTCTTTCTTTCTTTCCTTTCTTCTGAACCAGCCGCTCAAACTCCTTTCCGGGGCGCAACCTTCTCGGCTCAGAGGCAAGCGGCTTACACCTCGGGGGGGGGGGGGTTGCCCGCCGCGGGCGTCTCTTCGGAAGGAAGATTTCGGGGGTTTGCAAAATGGGGCGGCCAAAGGGCGACGGTCTTTCCTTCCCCGCCGTTTCTTCCAAGCCCCCGAGTCGCTTCAACACAAAGCGCCCATTGTAACCGCAAGCGCGGCTCCGGCAGCCAAGAGCGTCAATCCCTCGTCAGCAAAACGGCTCTCCGTGACGGCAGCGCCAAGCTGTATAAATAGCCCGGCCCAGCCCGGGCAACAGAAGCGAGGGGGGTGGGGGGAGTGAGGTGAAATTTCCATTGAGGCAGCCAGGAATGGAAACAATAGCTTTGGGGGCAGGAGCGAGCGCGCGCGCGCCTCCTTGCTGGCACCGGGGCTAAGCGAGCCGCGCGCGCCACCCGGGGACGGCGCCTGGCTTTGCGCCAGCTCGGTTGTCGCGAGGGTTTCCCCGTTGTGGCTTTCCCGCCAGAAACGCACAGCTCTTATTTTTCTGTCTCCCGGGCACAATCTTTGTACTGTTTTCCTCTCGCCGCCTCAGTTTCTTAGACGGTCTCCCAGACGACATCTATATTTTTTAATCGATATTCTTTCAAATAAATCTGAAAGAAAGCTTTATTCCTTTCAGAAAATCCTTGCTTACAGAAAGATTTTGAGGCTGCAAACTTGCAACTGCTGAATGATGTGACCGGGTTCGGGATTCTTTTGTGTGCGCGCGCGCGCCGTCAAATCAGCGTTTACTCCTGGCGACGTTTGCAGAAGCGATTTGCCTTCTCTTGCTCCCTAGGCTAAAAGAGAATGACTGGCCCAAAATCATCCAGTTGGTTTTATACCCAAAACTTGACTAGAAGGCAAGTGTCTAGCTTTCTAGCCAGGTGCCTTCACCCCTACACATTAAACTGGCTTTTATTGAGATCCTAGAAAACTAAATTTAATAAATAACAAGTGCAATTTTGTCTCATATGCTTAAAGAAAACAATTTATATCATTGTTATTGATGGTGATCTAGCCAAAAGAAGTAGTCCTCAACTTACAATCCTTCATTTAGTGACCATTCAACATTACAATAGCACTGAAAAAAGTGGCCTATGACTATTTTTCACACTTATGCAACATCCCTGTGGTCGAAGCGATGCTTTGCTCAAATGGTCAAAATGTGGACACTTGGCAACTGGTTCATATTTATGACGGTTGCAGTGTTCTGAAGTCAGGTGATCACTTTTTGTGACCTGACAAGTAAAGTCAAGGGAAGTCAGATTTGGTTAAGAATCGTGTTGTTAACTTAACTGCCGTGATTCACTTAACTGTGGCAAGAAATGTCATAAAATGCAGAAAAACTCATTCCACAACTGTCTTACCAACAGAAATTTTGAGTTCAGTTATGGTCATAAGTCAAAGACTACCTGTATTACTTAACCAATACTATGCTGTAGTTTAAATACATACAAGTTATGTCAGAGTCATTCCTTTTTTTCTTATTTGAGAAATGACGAGTTTATTTCTACCTAAATCGGCATAGAGGGACGTAGTGGCTCACTGGTTAAGACACTGAGCTTGTTGATCAGAAAGGTCGGTAGTTTGGCGGTTTGAATCCCTAGCACCATGTAACAGAGTGAGCTCCCATTACTTGTCCCAGCTTCTGCCAACCTAGCAGTTCGAAAGCATGTAAAAATACAAGTAGAAAATAGGAACCACCTTTGGTGGGAAGGTAACACCGTTCCATGCTCCTTTGACATTTAGTCATGCCAGCCACATAACCACAGAGACGTCTTTGGACAGCGCTGGCTCTTCGGCTTTGAAACAGAGATGAGCACTGCCCACTAGAGTCGGGAACGACTAGCACATATGTGCGAGGGAAACCTTTACCTTAATCTGTATAGTGGATGTGGTATAAGCTAGCTTTTAGCAATTGTTGGATCCTTCTCCCATGCTCTGATAGTGAGGTAAGCAGTAAGATTTGAAGGGATGCTGAATTATCCAGTAACTATAAAAACAAAATATCCAAGATAAAATAATTTTCAGAAATAGCAGATTCCCAAAAAATTGATGCATTTTGTTCTCTGTCAACTGGATGTCCTCTTTTTCTCCTTCATTTGAGAATTACTACTGTTGGGAGGAAAATCCAACTAGTTCAGTTCCAAGCTGGGAGAAAGACGCTGGAAACACGGAGGCAGATCGGAAAGATGGTTTATTGATGAAGTAGAATCACATGTAATTCTGACCAGCTGACAAAATAGAGTGGGTGGGTTTTTATATCTTCTTTGGGCTTTGTATTTGGGCTTTGTATTTGAGTTTCCCGTTCCTGTGCAAGAACATGTCCTTTAATGTTCTACTGGCTATTGTCAGATTCCTTCGAGGATCATGTAGGAGTTATGTAGGAGTCATAGCTGGCTCTATAGGCAAAAGAGGAAATGCAAATCCTAGTGTTTGAGCTAATTTTGTCAACTTTTTGTTTGTTGGCTTATCTGAGTTTCTGTCCTGACACAGTCTTTCTGAATGGATTGTCAAATCTGCATTTTTAAAAGCTGGCCTCTTCAGTTTCTGCTTGGGACAGGGAAACGGGCTGGTTTCTGAATAGAGTGGCCCCATCTTTCTTAATGGGCACAAAATATATTCTGGGGGCTATTAAGAAAAACTGAGTCTGCTTTCTGTATTTAAGAGCATGTTTCTCCATTTCTCCTTGAGGGAAATATATTCTGCCTTTTTAATATTTCCCAAATATTTCATTCTTCTGGTGGGGAGGAGGTGTTGACTTTCTACACTACAATGACTGGCTATTTTTACCCTTCCCTTTTGCTCCACCCATATAGTTATTTCATCCTTATCCCATTTTGCTGTCACTTTTTCTCCCCAATCCAAGTTTGTTCCAAGAAATAAAGGAAGACCACCTGTAACTTAGCTTTCTGTAATCCAGGAGACTCCTGCTAATTGTTGGCTGCTGCTGCTGCTACATTACACTTTAAGCAAGTCTAACAGCATCTACCTCATTTTAATTAAAAAATACTAATAATCATAATATTTTGTCATGCCCTTTTGACTAGATACTGCTCAATTTATAAAATATAGGTAAAGAAGCTAAAAAAAACCCTCTATTCTATAACCCAATTTAAGATCACCATCAAAATATAGAGCTTTAGTAACATGAAAGGTTAATAATTAGAATCTGTATCTAAATAAGTAAATAGTGACTGGTTGCAGCTTTGTGCTTTGTTGGAAAACTGCCTAGCTACTCAGAAAAGAGATTAAGTAAAGTGGTGGCGCTTAAGATCATGCTTAAGCTTACCAGAGTGTGATCCCACACAATCTACTTAAGAGGAATGTGATACTTCTCTAAAAAAAATTATGTAGTAGTTAAACAAAGAAAATATAACATACAGCATATCTGCTCCAGGCAACAGCAACGCCATTGCAAGGATGATTGCTTGCTTGTCTTCTGGCTTGTTCAGATAAAAACCACATGTACAGTATAACATACATACTCAGATACTAAACATATTTCCTTTGCTACTGGATAAAATGTAGCCAGCTCAATACTTCTGTGACAATACATTAGTCAATTTCCAGATAACCTGTTCTTGATCCAGGATGGTGATGATGATGGCTGCCTCAGTAAAATGCTCTCTAGTGGTTTCCTTATTTTTTATTATTCTCTGCGAATGTATCTTGTCTTTTTATGCACTCTGAGAGCATATGTACCAAGACAAATTCCTTGTGTGTCCAATCAAACTTGGCCAATAAAGAATTCTATTCTATTCATCTTCAAATGGATTAGCCTGTCTGTTTTGTTAATTCACAGATCAGCAAACCAATAGCATCCTGAGATTGCCCCATCAATATTCAGTGATTAAAATGGTTGAATTTTAGAGAACTACATTTATTTACTGAAATTATAGCCAGCCACAATAAAGTCAATAAAGTATGCTTTAAGATTATTTTGAAAGGTTTGGTTTTTTTAAAAGTGGGAATAGCAGTGGATTATCTTCTGCATACCTTCTACTCTAATTATCAGCTTTAAAATTGCATTGAATTGAACTGAACTGAATTAAGTATTTTATTTGGCTCGGTGTGATTAGACACACAAGGAATTTGTCTCTGGTGCAGAAACTTTCAGTGTACATGCAAATCAACAGAATAATAATCATAAAAATACCAATAAGAGGATGAAGTAAAGAAGATAATAAGAAGGATAATTAACAGTACTGCATAGGTAAATATGCATAGACATTAGACAGCACTGCGAGAATTAGGTGTTCAGCAGAGTGATGGCTAAGGTGACCAGACGTCCTGATTTTGGTGGGACAGTCACGATTTCTAACAATTTGTCCCGTGTCCCGCTGCGTTTTAAAAAAGTCCCAATTTTCTCGCTTCATGTTGAAAGCACAGTGGATTTGCTTAAGAAATCCTAACCGGGGCAA